TGTATTATATTTATAAACTCTCTCTGACGAACTACGTAAATAACCGAGGTTTATTGAGTGAAAAAGCAAGAGTTGTTTCCCTTAGTTTCCCTCGCTTGCAAAAGAATGCAAATTTAGCCGTGTTTAAATCGCTAGTTTGGGGCGATTAAATGTCCTATTTTAAAATTTGTTACACCAATTAAAAGCTGATGATCTTAGCTTCCTCTCAGTATATTTTTCAACACATTGTTTGACACTGAAGGTATTTAAAGTTACGGTTAAACCTACCACGAGTCAGAAATACAGTGAGATACGCAATCGGTTATCTTTACTTGCAATTCTACTGATAAGAAAAGCCCGTCTGCTGCTAGTTCTGAAACTGTCAATCCGTGTTTTATAAATAATTACAATAATAACAATAAATAGTGATAACATAAACTTAAATATTAATAATTAAAAAGTGAGCCGAGTTGACCCGTGCCGAGTTGGAATAGGGCCGAGCTGACTCGGGGGCCGAGTACGTTTTAGGGCCGAGCTGACCCGGATTCATGTAAGATACTTCAATTCAGGTACTAAAGGTACTAAACACAGTGTATAAAGGGTATATAAATTAGTCTCACAGTCATCATTTATAATGAGTTCCTATTGGTCAAAACGAAGGAAAATTGTTTCCTCAGTAAATCAACATATAAGTGCTATACATAATTTGGCAGTAGAGGAAGAACACCATCAAAATTCAGACGACAGTCTTGAAGTGACCGTTTCATTGCCTTCTGACCAAACTGTAGGTAGGAGTACAGACTTGGACAATGATACTGATGACATAGGCCTTCATGATGAAGTGTTAGCACAGGGCGGTATTGAAAATGATTTCTTTAGCTCTGAAAATGAATATTTTTCAGACAGTTCAGATGATGAATCAGATGACAGTGAGACTAATTTGGATACCCTTTTAGTAAATTGGGTTACACGGCATAATATTAGCCATTCTGCATTAAATGATTTGCTTTCAATTTTACGACAGTACCATACGTACTTGCCAAAAGATGCCAGAACTTTGTTAAAAACTCCAACTAACTATCAAGTTTTAAATACTGCTGGTGGTAGCTATTACCATTTTGGAATAGAAACTTGGGTCCTGTCAAAAGTTAATGGTATTGACAATGTGAATGAGGTTTCTCTACAAGTAAATATTGATGGACTACCTTTGTTCAAAAGTTCTGGTGCTCAATTGTGGCCAATATTGGGGCGACTTGTAAAACCTTCAATTTCCCAGCCATTTGTTATTGGTCTTTATTCTAGAGACCAAAAACCTACTAGTGTAAGCGAGTACCTTGACCTTTTTGTTCGTGATTTGGAAAATTTACTTCAGAATGGGGTTCGGGTCTCTGAAGAATCAAACAACAGAGTTCGTTTCATGCTTTCTTGTGTAATTTGTGATGCACCTGCAAAGGCTTTTGTAAAGCAAATAAAAGGTCATAGTGGATATTACGGTTGTGATAAATGTGTGCAACGTGGAGAATGGCAGGGTAAAATGACATTTCCTGCAACTGATTCCCCGCTTAGAACTGATGCTTCATTTGATGAAATGCAATTTGAAGAACATCACAGTGGTCAGTCACCATTTCATAATTTACCAATAGGGATTGTTTCGCAGTTTACAGTAGATGCTATGCACTTGGTTTATCTTGGAGTTGTTAAACGCATGATTCTACTCTGGATGAAGGGTCCACTTGAAAATGGGTGCCGCATTGGTACAGGTGCTATCAAGAGAATTTCTGACAATTTATCTGATTTAAAGGTTTTTCTTCCAAAAGAATTCAATCGCAAAGCCAGAACACTTCATTGTGTTGAAAGGTGGAAAGCAACCCACATTTCCATTGCAACAAGTGATTCGTAGAATATATGAAAGTAAAGGAAATCTGTTAAATTCTGCTCCTAAGATTTCAAACAAAGAAGGCATTTTGAAGAAAAATCATGTAAATGGACCATTGCCATTAAGATTTAACCATTTGGTGGTTTCACAGTTTAAAGAAATCCATTTTCCGGATTGCTTTTTCTCAACATCGAGAGGCAACTACTGCTTTCTTATAAATGATGAAGTTGGTATTATCAGGAATATAGTACTGAAAGATAACACTGAAAAGTTCTTTGTTTATGAACAATTTTTAAATGTTGCAGATTTTTTCAAGCTCCCATTACCATCTTCAGACCTTAGAATAAAACGTGTTGCAGACCTCAGTGGCATTTTGTGCGTTGCTGATATTAGAGACATTATTTGTAAATGTGTACTTCTTCCTATTGATGATGGTTTTGTATGTATACCACTGATACATGACTTGGAGTCTAAGTGATTGGAGATGACTGTCTAGAACTTCACAAACAGATACCGTACTTTCTTTAATGATTTAAGGTGTTACAAGGAAACTGTTTTGTCTTTTTTGTCTTTATTGTCTCAGTTCATGTTAAATGACTGCTGAATGGTTCGCTCATAACACCTTAATACATTTGATATCTTTTGTCTGTGTTTTAATGCAACCAAAATTGCACTCAGTCAGATGTTTTGATATATATGAAACTTTTGGTACTTTGAATCGCGATTTTTAAGAGAAATTTGTGTTTTAGTATGTGTTTCGAAATTGCATATGATATATGTTTCTAAAATTTTATATTTTAAATAAATATTTTCTAATCAAATTCCAGAAATTATTTCAACAGAACTTTGCCTGCAATTCTTTTACAAAAATTGTATGATGCTTACTCTTTGCTTTCGTTTTACCAGACAAAAACCCCTAAAAAACCTACCTACCCTACCTAGTTATTTTGGAGATGTAACCCTAAACAAACATAATTTTTATGTGGCCTAAAGCATTGGTGGAAAGTTGGAAACCATGGACTTATTGCATTAGGAGGGTATTGCTTAGTGAAAGCACTACTTTACCAAGTGATTGAATTTGATACAAATTGACTTATACAAATGTTTCAGATTTGTTGCAAAAAGCGCTAAGGAAGGCAAAGGAGGCAGAGGATGAGTCTGACATTCTTACTGATATATGCACAGATAGTACTCCAACCACTTCAACACCAAAAAAGGGGAATAAAAGGAAGCATAGGTATTTGAGTTTAATGATACATTTATGTCTGTAGAAAGAAAAATAGGGGGAAATCTGTTAAAATCGTGAATGTTTTAAAAATGTGTCTTTGTAGTCATATCATGTTTACCACAACTTGAAAACCCTTCTTTCATGATTATAAATAATGGTTTATACAAAGAGTATAGCATATATTTAAATATTTGTGAACTTAATTGAAAATAAGATGTTTCATTAATTTAAACAGCATATTTTTCAATTTCTCCTGACATAAAACAAAGTATACATGTTAATAACAGTTTATTGATTTACCTTTTTTCATATGATATTTCAAACATTAAGACCTATAACTTAAAGTTAAATGTTTATTTTATCATCTAAAGTACACGTGTAGTTGAATTTGACATTGAAATTATATATATATATATATTACCCTTTTTGTTAAAACTGAAGGCCAAACCCACGATTCATGGATTCAGAATCAGAGAAAGAGAGTGAAGGGGATTACCAAACTCCGCCAAAAAAAATTCCTGAAGCTCGAAAAGTTACACCACAATTTCGGGCTTCATTAAGGCCACAACCTAAATTGTCTCTAAGTTCACAACCTCAAAAGTCTACAAGTCCTCACCCTCATGAGTCTTCAAGGCCACAACCTCAGGCTACACCAAGACTGCAACCTCATGAGTCTTCAAGGCCGCAAACTCCGGTGTGTACAACGACACAACCTCAGGAGTCACGAAAGCCTCATCAGGTGTCACTAGGGCCACAACCTCAGGCGTCACGAAAGCCTCATCAGGTGTCACTAGGGCCACAACCTCAGGCGTCTCCAAAATCATCATCATCGACATCTAGCTCAGACCAAGCTCAGAATATTCTCTCGGGTAGAAATTTTTTGTTCTTTAATCAGTAAAAGTTGCTAAACTCCGACGCTATGATTTTTAATTTATTTTGAAAACATGCTTTTAAATTAAATATAAATGTATATCACATTTTCTTTATTTAAAAGTATTTACAGTCAGGACTCGATACAACACTGTTAATGTATTATTGCATTAGAGAACAATAAATGTATAAAATAGTAAAAGTAATCTTGAATACTTAAGTGCCCCTTAAAGTTTGTTTACACTTAAAGTAATATATCTGTATTTTTACTGGAAAATATGGAATTAGTTATCACAGAAATACAAAATTAAATTCTGTGTTTCAATGTTTAATATTATAACTGGTTTAATTACATCAATACCTAATTAATCTACTAATTAGTAATAAATCAGTGTTGTTTAACTTTAAGCACTAATTCAGAATGATCGTTAAACAAGTCATGTAAAAAAAATTTAAGCCAGACATTATTTGTCTAAAATCCTATTTGATTAATCATTATAATGGTTGTTGTCTCCCTTGATTGCTTTTTATTTTCAATTCTATTTGGTGTATCAGGTCGTGATGTAGTAAAACTCAGAACCCTGGAAGACATAAAACAGGGTCAACGCGAAATGATGGCAATGATTTCTGGGCTGGTGAAACGACTTGATGGTTGTGGGGTGAAAAACACAGATGTTCCAGATGGAGTTTATCTTCCAATATCAACAGAGGAACAACTCAACCATACGGAAGAAATCCTTAATGAGCCAGGCTCCATGAAAATGATGGTATAAACAAATTTTTATCTAGTTTAGAAAGCATGAAGCCTAAATGAAATTTTCTGAGGTCATTTAAGGTAGAATACCTGTCATGCAACCATGTTGGTTTGTTGCCAGGAACAAATGCGGCTAATTGCATAAACAAATATGATGTTGCAAGGACCAACTAACAATGTCGTTATTAAGACATGGTCACCATGTCACAATTTGGCAAACTTTTAAAAAACCAGCAGAATGTTTGGCCCAGTTGTTCAAAACTAACATTAAGGATTTAACGCTTACTATCAGCGTTAACTACTTGCGCTTAGGCGTTAAAATCAACGTTAGTTAACGACAATTTGTAACGTTGGTCAGACCAGCATTAAGTTGACATTAACTTTTTGTTAACATCAACACTGGTTTTCTAGTTTTTTCTTCAATTTAAATGATAAGCTTACCTTTGTGTCTTTCAAGTCTTTTTTCATTTTCTACCTGATTTTTACATTTGTTGATTTCATTGGCGGCAACAGGGCAACATATGTGATTGTTACCAGTGTTGCAGTCAATCTTTGTTATAATTTTTTAACATAAAAAATACACAAACATTTGGCAAAAATTACGTTTCATAATTCTAGATCCACCAATACATTTTTACTTTTCAAACAGACCTGAATAGTAACCAGAAAATGAAAAGGACAGGCAATTAAAATTGACAATAAAGGGCATACTGAGTATTCTTGCCTCCAAAGCCTACACAAATGATATTCCTACTTCTGATTTTTTGTTTTGTTTTTTCATTGAGCGCGTTCGGCATACCTACTCGAGTTAACACGGGTTAACACGGGCAATGCTCTAGTACAACTCGTGTTACCCGGGTAATGTTACTCGTGTGACCAAAATTCTACCCACCTCAAGAAGCCGGGAAAGTGGGTAATTCTATCCGAATATATTGCCACTTGCAGATTCAATATGGCGGAATCGACGGAAACCTCAACCGCGTTTGTTGACGAGAATGGAAATAGGTAAAATTTACCCAGAAGAAAGGGGTTCATATGTTTTGAATAATGAAACTTGTATATTTTATGTCCTTGAGCTGTCTGTTGTGTTGAGATATCTAAATGAACATGAACCTGGATGCAGTCGACGCGGATGTTGATTTAGTAACGATTCGCCCCTTTCTTGATTCGCCCCTTCTCGACTCGCCCCTGTTCTTATCTCGATTCGCCCCGTTCTAATATCGATTCGCCCCTTATTCAAAATTAAATTTCTTTTGAAAAAAAAATGAAATATATTAGTATCAAAATACCATTACAATTTTTATCTACTAAAGTAAACAAGCATTTGATAGTATTGCGGGCAATACAGTAGTCCCCTACCGGTCCCTCAAAAAGTTCTTTAATTGTCATACACTCCTGTGTATTGCCATTTATAATGAATTTGAGGATGAAGTCTGTATTTGAAAATATCAACCACAAAACATAATAAAATAAGTTTGTCTATATCACAGTAATGTGTTAAGTTTCCATGCTTAGTAAGGAAATTATGTTTATACAACCTTGTCATATTATTACGATGTGGGATTTTAAAGTAAATCCTATAAGGAATGAAGAAGTTGGAGTGAAAATACCAGTTTCTCGAAAAAAAATCTAAGTTCAAGGGGGACATAATTCTGGAAATAGTCTTGCTAGAGTATTTAACCTTCTCAAAAATGTCGAGTGATAATAAGAAACATATATATGAAATTTGAAGTAGATACATTAGGAAATAAAGAAGTTATTTAAAAAAGACAACATTTTTTCCCCTAAAAAATCTCAAGTTCAAGGGAGGTAATACTGATATTTTTTGTGCTAGAGTTATAAACCTTGTCACATATGATGTGGTTGATGACCAGAAACTTATATTTAAAGTTTGAAGTAAACACCTTAAGAAATAAAGAACATATAGTGAAAAAGCTGAAAAATTTAAATCAGAAATCTTGAAATTCAGGCTATTTGTTGCCACAGCAACCAGAATTTTCAACATAGGAAGAAAAGAAAAAGATGTGCATAATCTCCAGACTGCCATCTACCCATATTTCAAGTTTCATAAAAATATTTTCAGTACTTTTTGAGTTATCACTGGATCCAGTTTATGTGTTAAATTTGCCATATTTTCAGACTATTTGTTGCCATAGCAACCAGAATTTTCAACATAGGAAGAAAAAAAAGAAGACGTGCATAATCTCCATACTGCCATCTATCCATATATCAAGTTTCATAAAAATATTTTCAGTACTTTTTGCGTTATCGCGGGATCCAGTTTTGTGGACGGACGGACTGACGGACTGACAGACAGACAGACAGACAGACAGACGGACAGACGGACAGACAGACAGACGGACAGACGGACGGAGGGTAAACCTAAAGTCCCCTCCGGTTAAACCGGTAGGGGACTAATAAAATGGATGAAAAGTGTAAAGAAAATGATAAAGACAAGTGTTTTAACAAAATTGTCATCATAAGTAAAACAAGATGTATAAATCATTTATCTTTAATAACTTTATTTCCAACACTAACTGGATATATACATGTAAATACATAAAGTTTTTGTTTCGGTTGATTAACGATTTTAATTTTATATTAACAATGTACCATGTCATGTGCAGTCGAGCCCCCATAAATTCGACCCTTGATTCATCATTATTATGCAATAATTGAATATAGTTTTTTTGAGACGTAACAAAAGGTGTGATAAATAATTTACTGCATACATCTCATGTAGGCAATAGGATTTTTTCCTCCCTGGATCCGAAATTGACCATATAAAGGATTTTTCGAATTTAACTAAAAAATCCTTTGTGCAAAATACAAATTCCTTTGAAAATAAATATACTGCATCGAGATATAGATCTATTAATTGTAATTTAAATGTATTGCTACAATTAATATCTTCATTTCAACTGTGAACTAATTGTAAGGTGCATGTGATGTGTAAAAAAATTTCAAAGTTTGACTGTATAAATTTCAAAAATAAACACTACCCTTGGAAATATAAGTGAATTATTTTGATAATCAAAATAACTAATTACACTACGTAATGTTTGTTTACTTCTATTCCAAATTAAACTTATTGTTTTCTAACATTGAACAAAACATCTTTTCATTGGCTTCTCCTTTGTATTTATATGCATTGAGCATATATACAGGGACTTGTGCCAGTAGTCTGTCTTCATTACTGTCAATTTTTTTATGTCACAGGTTTGCTCCGTCATTTGATTATATATTAATTCTGTCAGACTATGAAGGTGTTTGTATTGCACAGTATCACCTAGGACAAATAAATACTGAGTGAAATTACTTGTTTTTGTGTCTTACATAAGAAGGGTAATTAAAATGACTGTAATATTTGTATATTAAAAAAAACATTCAAAAAAAAAACAAACAAAAAAACAGAACCCCTAAAGAACGCCAAAAACGGTTTTTTGTCATAAAATGTTGCAGGCTCAGTTTGATTGAGCCTGTTCATGGACAGTACTGGAAATGTGCAGTACTGTGTACTGTCCATGCCCCCTTGCACTAGCTTAAGCATAATTCAACATTTGTATATGATCAGATGATGGTGAAATTTTGAATTAAAACATCCACAGGTATGTTCATACGTTGGTGATCATCTTTTATGAAAAGTACATGCTTCTTTTTCAGGATTATGGCTGTGGGACCACTAGCCACTGTTATCCCAGCCAGATTACACAAACATATCTCCAAAAACATATTAAAGAGTTATCTTTTTGCTTTTCATGAAATTTTCAACAAAACTCCAAAAAAAAAAACCCCCAGAAAAACCCTTTTTTATGTACCAGTTTCAACTAAATATGAAAGCAGCTTTCCCCTGGGGAGTGGCGGGCCTTTCGATTTTGGGAAAAAAAAGGGCTTAATTTTGGGGTTTAAACCATGGGGGTAAACACAAATTTAAAGACTGGGATGAGTTGGATCAAAAAATTTGTACACAAGGTAAACCTGCAAATTTGTATAATATAGTTTATTTGACAATACTGCATTTTTCTTAAATGACTGTACAAAAGTAGCAAAAACCACGAATGAAAAATAAACTAGCTATTTCTAACATGGAAACAACAAATTTTGTTCAGCTGTGAATGTTTTAGCCATTATATTTATGAAGAGTTTCAATACAAACTGTGCTCTGTTCATCTGTTCTTTCTTAACCCATTACCGTATGAGCATTTTTAATTTTTATGAAAAATACCTGTTTTTATTGTTACAATATGAAATTGCTATGAAACTATAAACCATTTTGCGTTGATTTTTTCGTCAGCATAATTTTCAGATTCAAATGCCTTAATTATCATGTTGTTTCAGATTTAGCTGAGACTGAAGGCTCTACCGATAACATTGTGCAGTTGCCACAGAAAAGTTCTACAAAGAGAAGTAAGTTTCAATGACCGTTTATGCATATTATATACTGGTTAAGTTTTTTTTACAGAGGAAAACATATCAAAGTTAATTTTAATTTCAATTTACTGCCACCAATGGGTGCTGAACACACTTAATTGATTGAGATGAGTTAAAATAAAGCATCTGTACACAAGAGAAAGTCTGCACTTTTGGGTACTTGTATTAGGTATTAGGTTTAGGGCAAATGATCCAGAAATGCATTATAATTTTCAATAGAGGCAATACACAATTTGTTTCCTGAAGCTATGCTTTCTTAACATCATTATTATATCTTCAGGATTTTTACTGTTTATATCTGGTGGCATGACTGCTTTTCAAATGTGATTTTCAACATATTAACCAGTCTGAGTGATTTTTATCCTGGCTCTGTCTTTTAAAAATTAATTGAAATCAAAAGGTTCCAATATCTTTATTTTGGAGAAATTAAGCTTGCAGCTGTGAAAACATCATTGCTCATTTCATGGATTTAATTGGATTATGATTAGAGATAAGTGTCTATATTTTTTGTTATTGAAAGGAAATGCTCGCTGTGAATACACTCTAGAATAAGATTAACTAGACACCAACATCAATGATAATGTAGTGATATCTTTCATTTAATTTTCAGTACTATGGATATCCATTTGTTCTGGTGTAGATTACCTGGGTTACCTAGAAAAATGAAATGGCCAGTAAAAGTGAAAGAATGGCATGATGACAAAAGCACTTGTCTACTGTAGGTCTGATGATGCATTGTAAGTTTTTTTCATTATTCTTCAATTAATGATTATGTATTCATCTTTCTAGTAAGCTATCACATATATTAAACCTACTCTTTCAACTTGCTTTTCACAATTATTAACTGATGGCACATATCACATTCAACTTGATATATGAAGATGAGGAGTCAGAGCATTGATAACGTTACCGTCTGTATGTAGCATTTTTTTTTACATGGAAGTATTTTTGTTTCAGTTCCAACACACTTGTGAATATTATTCGTAATTTATTTGTAGCTTTAGTATTACGAGGGATCATATGGTATCTTTTCCTGGGCCATTTAAAACATTACAAAACATAGGCATTGGTATAGTACCAGTTGTTAGCTACAGTACGCACATCGCATAACTTCCCCAACGCACACCCTACCCCGCGATTTTGCTCAAGCGTGTTCACCATATTTTGAACCCCCAAGAAAGGGTTTTCACGGTGATAAGCGGCCTCGAACATGGTGGTCACGGACACGATGTGTTGAGGTGTTCATTCGCAGTGATTTCACTGTGTTCTTTTTCTGTAAAAATCAACTTACCTGCCATTCCAGTGTAATTAAAAAAATAATAATTAAAATCCATTTAAAAAACCTATTTTTAATGCTGCCCGATGGATCCGATTTTGACAAACATTGATTAAAAAAACGAAGACAAATACACACCACAAACTATTTTGACTCGCACTAAAATAATTGAACTAATAATAATCCGATGAAAATATTTTCTTCTTTTCACTTGATGTTTACGTGAGCAATTTTTAAAGACATGTATAATCTTTTCTTCACAAAAATGATCGGCGAATGTCAAAGTTAGCAACCTCTTTGATTTCGGTTGAGTAAAGTCGCAGCGTCTAAACAATTCTTTTGAAGTGTCGGTTATAGGCACCTGTAAAAAGGTCAACTTGTCTATTTATTAGAATCTGCATGAATTTATATTTTCAGTTGTGTTGTGCATACAATTTAACATTTTCATATATAATTTGCTTGGCACAAGTTTGATTAAATTAATATAAATTTATGCGAGTGTTTTAAAAATTGTGCATTTTAGCAGTATGGAATTCAGACAATCTTGAGGGATAACTCATTTATTTTATTGTTAATAACTATGTAGACTGTCAAAAGTTGATGGATTAAATCTTTATAAATCAGAAAGGTAATTTTAATACCCATTTATATCAAATTCTGAAGACTATTTTGTTTGTCCGCAACATATTTACACAAAAACGCGCATTCTCATGCATATTCGGGTAGCTGAATTAACCAGTTTTAGGGGATTTTCGAAAAATTATTTTACATGATTAAAAAGATCACCAGTCAAGACTTGTTGTTTTGTATTATTTGAGCCTTCACAAGTCTGCCATACAAAAATGAGAATAGAGAAACGCGATATTCACACAATTTCTTTAGCTTACCATCGTTTGTTTTGGCTTGGAATAATTACAGTATTATGAATTAAATAAATGTGCGAAAACAAGGTAATATCTAAACATAACTTAACCTTTTTTGTGCTTCAAAGCTGATGAAACCACAGTGGAAATATTATGAAAAATATTTGTTGTTGTTAAAAAATATCGAATGAACACCGAGAATCATCGTGTGGGGACACCATGAACCACTGTGTGCACACTTCAGTGTCCTCTAAGATATCTGATCGTATCCGTGACACTGTGATTGAACATGCTCAATAAATTTTCGTTGCATGGTTCGCATGGAAAAGGGAAGTTAACGCGATGCGCATACTGTATTACTGCTTTGTTTCAAACCTTTACTTTTGATTGTTCTCATTGCAGTTAAAATTCAAGAAAGTTCTAAAATAGCTTTTGTTATAGTTACAAACCTGGGTTGTCACTAGGTATTTTTCTTGAAGGCTTATTTTGAATTAAAAGTTATATATTTAATTAGGGGTGTGCAATATATCGCAATATATCAGTTATCGCAATATATTCTCTGACAATATAATATATTGCAATATGATTTTAAAATATTGCAATATTTCAATTGCATTGTTAGAATGATGTCTAAAACATGGTTGAATATTAGCATTTAAAGAAAGAAAGGAAAAAAATCTTGCAAAAAAAAATGTTTACTTAGCTCATTTCCGGTCTTGTTACGGGATTTTTTTACTTAATTTGTTTTTTTATTTTACTTAAAAACAAGTTAGACCTTAGTCACATAAGGGGACACAAACATAAAACAGGAATAGCTTATTTAGTGTTCAAATATTTCATTTCCATGATTTCTATATGGTCACAATATATTGCAGTATTTATTAAAATATCGCAATATATCGCAATACCATTTTGTCTGGCAATACTCAGGCCTATATTTAATAACATAGAATAAAGAGTGTTTCCTTGTTTCGTGGCAGTCATTTTGGCATCCAGCCTCCTATTGACAACCCCGAGTTAACTGTTATAATTGCTTGATTCAATGCATGAAAAATGTTCTGAATATACATTCCTGTACAGATATTTTAAAATGCAGATGCCTACTGTATTAATTAATTTTTATTGATGTCATGTAAAGCAAAAGGTTGTTTAAAGTGAGCTAACTGCTATTGCCATGTACATTATGTGTCATTAAGGTGTTGCTTTAAAAGCAAATACATTTTACACCACAGGCTTAATTGAAACCAAACTTGAAGGATCCTTAGGTGTTCCCCTTTAAAAAAAATCAAAAAGTTAAATTTATTGATCTTAAAAGAATAAAATTATCTCTCAGAAGCCACAGGGCTTAAACTTAAGATAATTGTACATAATAGTTTAGCAATATCTTGCACAACACATGGTTGTCATTTCATTTATCTCTGTAATTGGCTTAGTTAACTTAAGAATCTGTATGTATATGGTTTTAGTCATAATTATAAATGTAATGTTCAAAATTCATCTTAGGATATGACCATAAAAAATGAAAATTTTAAAATAAATTAAAAAAAAAATTCTGACAAAAAGGATTTTTGTTGTCTGAATACTTTCATGTAATGAATCATGATAAACATTAAGGCTTGAAATGTTACTTTCTGGTTTGAAGTTGAATTACCATTGAACAATTTTCTTCTCATTTAGTTTGCCTCCTTACTGTTTAGCTTACAAGATTATCATGTAATCTTCTGTTTTTTATATATATTTAAGACTCTTTAAAGAAGAAAAAAACAACTCTAAAAGCTTTTAAAGAGGACATAGACTGGGCCTTGGCTGAAGTCTTGAATGGTAAGTAATTTGCATACCACAGTACTTTGAATGATCAGAATGATCTGATCATGATCTTTTCTTTGTGACATTGTTTTATCGTAATTAAAGATTTGCATGCAGTCTAATAATTAATTTTAACAAAAAAGATTGTAGTGAATTGAATCTATAATCTTGTGTCATTCTTAAATTGTAATTTGTTTTGTGATATAGTATATATATATTTTATATTTACTGCCACAACATACTAGCCACATAATGATGGACAAGATTGGAGATCATGAAATGCAATTTTGGTGTCATCTTATGTTATTTATGTGTCTTTTTTGGCCTCAGTAAACAAGTCACATAGTGATGCACAAAATTAGGAAGTCATTAAAGCAAGGAATATTTTAATTTACAATTAACTCTGAAAAAAGAAATATGTCTTCTATGGCCTCAATTAAATGGCAACATAATGATGGACAATATTACTAAGTAAGAATGAGCATGGGATAATATTCCATGAATTGTTATCACCAAAATTGTTGTTGTCCTTTAGCAAACCAACATAGTGAGGAGAGCTGTTCAGATGATACAAATGACACCAATGTTGATGACATAGAAATGCAAGGCAGCAGAACTATTGGATGCGATGATGGTGGCCAGGAACTTCAAGATAACAAGTCTGTTGACGACAATAATTGTGACAGTGAACAAAAAGATAATTCTGACGATGGTTGTAGTGAGTATATTTTAACATTTCAAATTTAATCTTGTCTCCAATTTCAATCTATAGTCTATGTAAGTTTGGTGACAGTTACATATTTTTTTCAATATTGATGCATCGTTATTGGCCTTGTTAAAAGAGCCACAAACTGATGGACATGATTGGAAGATCATTGAATGCAATCAATATTTTAAATAAATAACATAATCTGCATTAATGTGTGTCTATAATGGCCTTTAAAAAACTTGTCACATATAGATGGATAAGACTGGAAAGTATGAAATGAAAGGCAGGTTTCATTTACAAATTATTCCGTTCTGTAATAATATGTCTTCTGTGGCTTCTAAGACAAGTCACATAATGATAGACAAAGTTTTCAAAGTGGATTGAAGATTTCTTTATTTAATTCATTTATTCTGTTGTTGTCTTTCAGCAAACATATTTGTGGTGGAGAGTTGTTCAGGTGATTATGACATGAATGATTGTCACATGGAAATTCAAAGCAACAACTTTAGTGGTAACATAGAACATCAAGGTTACAAATCTGTTGAAAATGATAACTGTGGTGAGTTTCTGTTTTTGATTTGCAAACATTGATTCCCATTTTTTCATTTTTTACATAAAAAAAATATGTTAATCTGTTTGCTGAGTGAAAAAGTAATAAATTATATCTTAAATATTGTGTCTCAAAAAAAAAAGTATTTGGTGATACATAATACAGTGTGTGTTTAAGTTTACAATACATTCTGAATCTTGAGTGTCTTCTTTGGCCTCTAAAATAAGTCACATGAAGATGGACAAGATAGCAAGATCATGAATAGAATTTATGTTTCATTTTACAAGTTATTCTAAATCAATGTGTCTCATAAAGCTACAATAAATTGGCCACATTATGATGGACAAGATTTCAAAATAAGCATGGAATAAAATGCATATTCAATTTATTAACACCAATTGTTATTGTCTTATAGAAATCAAGCAGAATGAGGAGAGCTGTTCAGATGATTCAAATGATGGCAATGATGATGACATAGAAATACAAGACAACACGTTGTTGACAGAAATGATGGTGACATGGAAATTCAGGAGAACAAATCTGTCAACGACAATGATGGTTACATAGAAATTCAGACAACAAATCTGTCAATGACAATGATGGTGACCTTAAAATTCACAACAAATCAACGGCAATGATTGTGACATAGAAATTCTAAACGACAAAACTGTCAATGACAATGATGGTGACCTTAAAATTCACAACAAATTTATCAACGACAATGATGGTGACATAGAAATTCAGAACAACAAATCTGTCAATGACAATGATGGTGACCTTAAAATTCACAACAAATTTATCAAACGGCAATGATGATGACATAGAAATACAAGACAACACGTTTGTTGACAGAAATGATGGTGACATGGAAATTCAGAACAACAAATCAGTCAAGTGACTATAAAGTTGACATGGAAATTTACATCAACAAATCTGCCGATAGTAATGATAGTGACATAGAAATTCACGACAAATATGTCACCAGCAATGACAGTGGTGAGTTAATGTCTTTTAATTTGAAAACTTATTTTTTTATCCTTTTACTTTCATAATAGCCTATTAATCTAGTAGTTGGGAGGGAGAATTTTAAATTTGTCTTCAATATATTGTGCCTGTTGTTTGGGTTTTAAGGTTTAGGTTTAATGGAACAAACACATACCAATATTTGTGCATTTAATGAATAATATTTGAAAATGATATGAAATACAGTGTGTGTTTAAGTTTACAATACATTCTGAATCTTGAGTGTCTTCTTTGGCCTCTAAAATAAGTCACATGAAGATGGACAAGATAGCAAGATCATGAATAGAATTTATGTTTCATTATACAAGTTATTCTAAATCAATGTGTCTCATAAAGCTACAATAAATTGGCCACATTATGATGGACAAGATTTCAAAATAAGCATGGAATAAAATGCATATTCAATTTATGAACACCAATTGTTATTGTCTTATAGAAATCAAACAGAATGAGGAGAGCTGTTCAGATGATTCAAATGATGGCAATGATGATGACATAGAATACAAGACAACACGTTTGTTGACGGTAATGATGGTGACATGGAAATTCAGAACAACAAATCTGTTGACAGTGATAAATGGTGGTGAGTTAATGTTTGATAATAAAGTTTTAGTAGTGTTTTTAGTCAAAAAGTATGATTGAATAGATCTGAATATGCCATGTCAACTTGCATGTTGTGAATAATACATGGCATATTAATGGGATATTTATAGCCATGAAAAAGCCACATATTGATGGACATGATTAAAAAGGGATCATAGACACGGTAGGGAATCACGTGACTTTTACGGTTACGCGTACAGACAATATGGCGGCCTAAAAACCTCGCTTCACATGTGTTTTTAAAGGTAATTCTTTATTATATCCCTTTTACTTACATACGAGACCTGTTGCCAAGCCCTACGCAGAATTTAAAGAATTGTTGCCGCCTATACCCTTTAGTTTTTCCACTCCTGTGCTCATAGAATTTTAGCAAACACTTTCAAAAATTTCAACAGAAAATTTTTCAAATGTTGAACAATTATATTTCGGTAACATTCACGCAAAATTTGTAATTTTTTATGAATTTTGATTTTAAACTACGTCGAAGTTTAGCAATTGAGGAAAATGTTCATAGAATTTCTTTTATTTGAAAATGGTAAATATTAGGCATGGTTAAATGTTGACTGGTCCATTTTCTATTCCAAAACATGAGAGAAAAATGATTTTGGTTAACTCCCACGCATACTTTTATTGTTGATAACTCCCACGCAATATTATGGGCAGGCAATATCTATGCAGGTTATAGCCTAGATATTGATTGAACAAAATCATGATTGATGCATTTAGCCTTAAAACGTTCAAAGAATTTTGAATAATATTAAAATACCGCCAAAAGGTCCATGGTATACGAATAAGCCCGCATGGATAGCGAATACAGTACCTCACGTGAAAATATATAAATGAAGGTTCGATATATGATGAATTAATCGCAGAAATATTAAAAATAGTCTCAAATATAAGAGGAGGTCGATTTCAGTAATAAGCACAATAACATTGTCAATTTTCAATAGTTTGCAGAATATGGCGTTCAGTTCGCGGTATTGTTTTGTGGATAATGACCCAACAATTTGTCTTAATGAACCACATAAACTGGTACTACTCGGCACAAGGGACTTTGTAAAATGTTTGTGACTAAATCGAAACGTTTACAGGTATGGCATTTTTTATTTTTATTCGTTATATTAAGATTTTAAAAGACATTCAAGTCATTTTATTCACTTAGTCTTTTATTGAAACCAACTTTTTTCAAATTAGAAGGGTGTCTGTATTTATCATTATTATGGTTGTGGTGTGTTTTTTTTTAAATCTAAAGCATAAAAGAAAACCAACCTAAAGTATATGAGAATGGTCTTTTAATTTTACAAAACAAGGTAATAAAATCTAGAGGAACTTATGTTTGAATGTCATCTTAATATTGACAGTAAAACCTGTAAATCGTTTCCGATTTGCTGGACTATAATATGTTTTACCAACAACATTTATAAGGTCCTGTGCCGTGTAGACTTTTTTATGTGGTCAATATTTGAGACCTATCCGCGAATGAAATGTTTCCCCGCATTTATCAACAAAACAATATCCGAGATGGAACCTTCCATAACTGCAAAATATGAAAAATGACAACTGTAATTTACTAATAAAAACAGAAATACAAAACTCTCATTCTAATATTTTTAGACTTTTGGTATCAAAACGCGACCTATATTTGAATGTTTTGGGTTTTGGGTAGGCCTTACGCGAAATTTATTGATGTCCTTGGCAATTTAATGATTTTACAAGCCATGCTTTTTTTTGAAATTTATTTATCATATTTTTGTAACCTATAAGCAGATGAAGTGTTGTTCGCGCCCCATATAATTTACGCCCGCAAGGACGATTCGTCAAATTTAGCTGTATTAATTTTTATATCTTAGTGATAGTAAAATAAAATGTGAATTAGATTGAAAAAATACATTAAATCCATGGCATTTTCAAAATAAATATTGATTAAACTGTTTGTGGTTAAATAATAAAAAGTTGAGTGTTTAAATTTTAAGTTTAATTGCCGCGAATATATAGGGAATAAATAAGTTTATTTTATATTCTAGATCCTGGTCCTGGCTGAAATTAAAAAGTATTACAGCTGTAGCTTCTATACCATAAATTTTACATGGAAAGGATTCTGTTCTTGGGAAAATGCTGACGTAACTGATGGGAGCAGTTTTTTCTTACCAATCATAGGTCAGACTTAACCCTTTCCCCAATTGAGCATATTGTGAAAAAATGGCCATTTCACTGAAAAAGCCTCCTCCTAACATGTTCAAAAACTGCAATGAAACTATGAAAAATGCTAATCAAACTTGGCAAAACAAATGTTGAACTGGACCATTGGCTTTTTGTTAACGACATGCTCAGTCTTAAAAAAAAAATTCCTGTTATCCATGGCACGGAGGGGTAATGGCTAACAAAAAATGATGAAAAACTTTTGAATCACCCTAAAATCTAGTTTTATTACATTTGTTAAATGTGGTCTTTTTACCTAATTTTGGTGTAAGAAATTGTTGTTTGTAACATTTATAATTTTTTAAGTTAACCCTTTCTACCCATGAGCATATTGTGAAAAAATGGCCATTTTCACTGAAAAGCCCCCTCTTTCAAAGTTAAATTTCCTGTTACCATGGCAAACGAGGGTGACATCGTCAAAAATTGCCAAAAATACACTATTTTGCCTCGATTTTTTCCATTCAAAATTTACTTAAGAGTGCTGCAACTTCTCAAGGGGGATTGAGATAGAGTCAAAAGGCTTTTCAGCGTTGGTTACACCTTACCTTAATGATCGACCTGGGGTCATTTAAAGCCCTCTCACAAAAGTCCAAAATTTCTTTGCGATGAGGGGGACTCCGCCCCCTTCAACCCCCCCAAACAAGAAGGGGGCACATCCCCCTTCTGTCAACCCCTGAAGTATCTTTTGGACAGGGGGCGGCGCCGAAAAAGTGCTCACTTTTTTTAACAACATTTCTCAAACGAAAACATGTGTTTGGGGGAAAAAATAGGACATTTTCTCACTATTTCAGGGGCCTATAAAAAAAGGGGGGGGGTCGAAAGTGCGTTGTTTTCGCGTATATATATGAGGAGGTTAAGGGTTAAATAGCTTCTTTTTAAAAAGTTTTTGTTGCTTTTGTACATAATTTACTGTCAATATGAAACTTCAGCTGTATCTTAATTTCTAAATGCTGTTTTATTATGTAAATTTTAGAAGATAAGCATTTTAAGATAAAACAAATCACTAAGTTGATTAATTATATATAATTTGAGATTGACCAAGTCAATTTTAACGTGTATAATAAAGATAGATAGATAGATAGATACTTTTATTTCCTCCAAAGATGAAGAGCATAACAGTATTTACAGATACAATATTCACGGTAGGGAATCACGTGACTTTTACGGTTACGCGTACAGACAGGCATGTTAAATGTTTACTGCTCATTTTCTATTCCATTACACGAGAGAAAAATGATTTTGGTAACTCCCACGCATACTTTTATTGTTGTTAACTCCCACGCAATATTTTATGTGCAGGCAATATCTATGCAGGTTATATCCTAGATATTGATTGAAAAAAATTATGATTGATGCATTTAGCATCAAACTTTCATAGAATTTTGAATAATATTAAAAATACCGCAAATAGTTCCCTTGATAGAAGTAACCCAGCAGGCACATCAAACGTTGAACAACGTTGGAAGTATGATCAGATTTCAACGTTTAGATAACGTTAGATTTATGTTCGAATTTGAAAGTTTAAAAAACGTTGAAGTTTCAACGTTGGCAACAACGTTGAAGTTTCAATGTCATTTCAACATACTTTAATATAAATATAAAGCAAAGTACTGTACGTAACAGAGTTTAACAAAAAAAAAATCAAGAGACACTATTAAATACTTCAGCTATTTTATTTTAAAACTACAGTTCAAGTGTAGCTAAAAATTCCAAAACGATTTAAGAAGTCCTTTTAGTTTAACAATTAAGCTACAATCTGTTCCAATCTACCCACTAGTTTCTTTCTTCTAGAGCTCTCTTGGTATGTCTAAAGTGTGTCATGATGGTGTTTGAATACTTCTACTGCTTCTGCAAATAAAATAAGAAAGTTACATGTTAAAATTGACTTGGTCAATCTCAAATTATATATAATTAATCAACTTAGTGATTTGTTTTATCTTAAAATGCTTATATCTTCTAAGATTTACATAATAAAACAGCATATATAGAAATTAAGATACAGCTGAAGTTTCATATTGACAGTAAATTATGTACAAAAACAACAAAAAACTTTTTAAAAAGAAGCTATTTAACCCTTAACCTCATATATACGCGAAACAACGCACTTTCGACCCCCCTTTTTTAGGCCTGAAATAGTGAGAAAATGTCCTATTTTTCCCCAAACACATGTTTTCGTTTGAGAAATGTTGTAAAAAAGTGAGCACTTTTTCGGCGCCGCCCCCTGTCCAAAAGATACTTCAGGGGGTTGACAGAAGTGGGATGTGCCCCCTTCTTTTTTTTTTGGGGGGGGGGGTTTGAAGGGGGGCGGAGTCCCCTCATCGCAAAGAAATTTTGGACTTGTGAGAGGCTTTAAAATGACCCCAGGTCGATCATAAGGTAAGGTGTAACCAACGCTGAAAAGCCTTTGACTCTATCTCAATCCCTTGAGAAGTTACTGCACTCTGAAGTAAATTTTGATGGAAAAAATCGAGGCAAAATAGTGATTTTTGGCAATTTTGAGATGTCCCCTCGTTGCCATGGTAACAGGAAATTTTACTTGAAAGAGGGGGCTTTTCAGTGAAAATGGCCATTTTTCACAATATGCGCATGGGTGAAAGGGTTAACTTAAAAAATTATAAATGTTACAAAACAACATTTTTTCACCAAAATTAGGTAAAAGACCACATGTTAACATGTAAAAACTAGAATTAAGGTGATTCAAAAGTTTTTCATCATTTTTTGTTAGCCCTTTACACCTCGTTGCCATGGTTACAGGAAATTTAAGACTGAGCATGTCGTTACAAAAGCAATGGCCCAGTCAACATTTGTGCCAAGTTTGATTAGCATTTTTCATAGTTTCATAGCAGTTTGAACTTGTAAGAGGAGGCTTTTCAGTGAAAAATGGCCATTTTTCACAATATGCTCATGGGGGAAAGGGTTAAGTCTGACCTATGATTGGTAAGAAAAACTGCTCCCATCAGTTACGTCAGCATTTTCCCAAGAACAGTCCTTTCCATGTTAAATTTATGGTATAGAAGCTACAGCTGTAATACTTTAAATTTCAGCCAGGACCAGGATCTAGAATATAAAATAAACTTATTATTCCCTATATATTCACGGCAATTAAACTTAAAATTTAACACTCAACTTCATTATTTAACCACAAACAGTTTAATCAATATTTATTTTGAAAATGCCATGGATTTAATGTATTTTTCAATCTAATTCACATTTAATTTTACTATCACTAAGATATAAAATTAATACAGCTAAATTGACGAATCGTCTTGGGGCGTAAATTATATGGGGCGAACAACACTTCATCTGCTTATAGGTTACAATAATATGATAAATAAATTTCAAAAAGGCATGGCTTGTAAAATCATAAATTGATTGCCAAGGACATCAATAACTTCGCGTAAGGCCTACCAAACCCAAAACATTCAATTAGGTCGCGTTTTGATACAAAAGTCTAAAAATATTAGAATGAGGTTGTGTATTTCTGTTTTTATTAGTAAAATTACAGTTGTCATTTTTTCATATTTTGCAGTTATGGAAGGTTCCATCTCGGATATCGTTTGTGATAAATGTGGGAAACATTTCATTCGCGGATAGGTCTCAAATATTGACCACATAAAAAGTCTACACGGCACAGGACCTTATAAATGTTGTGGTAAAACATATATATAGTCCAGCAAATCGGAAACGTTACAGGTTTTACTGTCAATATTAAGATGACATTCAAACATAAGTCTTTCTAGATTTTTTACCTAGTTTGTAAAAATAAAAGACCCATTCTCATATACTTTAGGTTGTTTTCTTTTATGCTTTAGATTAAAAAAAACACAACATAATAATGATAAATACAGACACTAATTTGAAAAAAGTTGGTTTCATAAAAGACTAAGTGATAAAATGACTTGAATGTCTTTAAAATCTTAATATAACGAATAACATAAAATGCCATACCTGTCACGTTTCGATTTGTCACAACATTTACAAAGTCCTGTGCCGAGTAGCCAGTTTATGTGGTCATTAAGACAAATGTTGCCAACATCATCCACAACAATACCCGAACTGGAACCGCCCATATCTGCAAACTATGAAAAATGACAACTGTTATTGTGGCTTATACTGAAATCGATCTCCTTCTTATATTTGAGACTTTATTTTAATTTCTGTGATTAATTCATCATAATATCGAAACTTCATTTAATATATTCACGTGAGTATGTATTCTGCTATCCATAGGGGCTTTATTCTATCCAGGACCTTTTGGCGGTATTTTTAATATTATTCAAAATTCTTTGAACGTTTAAGGCTAAATGCATCAATCATGATTTTGTTCAATCAATATCTAGGCTATAACTGCATAGATATTGCCTGCCCATAAAATATTGCGTGGGAGTTATCAACAATAAAAGTATGCGTGGGAGTTACCAAAATCATTTTTCTCTCATGTTTTGGAATAGAAAATGACCAGTCAACATTAACATGCTTAATATTTACATTTTCAAATATAAGAAATTCTCTATGAACATTTTTTTCATTGCTAACTCGACGTAGTTTAATCAAATTCATAAAAAATACAAATTTTGCGTGAATGTTACCCGAAATATAATTGTTCACATTGAAAATTTCTGTTGAATTTTTGAGTGTTTGTAAAATCTATGAGCACAGGAGTGGAAACTAAGGTATAGGCGGCAACAATTCTTTATTCTGCGTAGGCTGCAACAGATCTCGTATGTAAGTAAAAGGGATATAATAAAGAATTACCTTAAAAACACATGTGAAGCGAGGTTTTTAGGCCGCCATATTGTCTGTACGCGTAACCGTAAAAGTCACGTGATTCCCTACCGTGATAGATGTATATGCTTCAGATTTGTTAACATTATACTTGTAAACTTGGTGTTTTGTTAGCAGACATACAACACAATGAAGGATATGAATATGATCATTTTAGAAAACTGACTATTATTTAATCATTATTGTCATGATGGTCTTAAGTTATGCCCTGTATGCAAATTCAAATGCATCAATATAAAGTCACTTATATTGAAATCCATACGTTCTGACAGTTACTCATGTTTTTTTTTCAGAGTCTGACTTCAGCTATGATGATGATAAAGATGAAGATTATGTCTTGCCTTCAGACATTGATTCAGACGAAGAGTTTTGTCCAGCACCAGACATGTCAAAGTATCTGAAGAAACATGTTGAAACCAAGATTTTGTTTGAAAATGTTAATGAATCAGCAGATTGCCTTGGTTGCTGCTCTGTTCCAGACATCCAGAAGAAAACTGCTGCGGCCAAGAATATGTACAAGAGAGTTACTGAATCAGCAGATTCACTTGATAGTAATTGTTATGTTCAAGGCATTGGAAATGATGCTACTGTTCCCCTGGAAAATGTAAGCGATTTAGAACTGAAAAGGTTAGATGAGGACAAAATTATCAGAGATGTGAATTTAAGAAAAATTTACATGCGAAAGCACATGAAATTGTCCGGAAAGCAAAGTCAACAGATGCGGAAAAAAACTACTGAAAGAATATATAACAATTACCACTGTTGTTTTTATTGCTCTAGATTTGTACAACACATAAGCACACACATGAAAACTCACAGAAACATAGATGCTGTGCGAAACATAATGAAAATGACGAACCCAGATTTCAGTACAATAAGAAAGCTAGGAGATGATAAAAATAATCAAAAAGTAGTGGAGATGAAAGAGGGTGAGTTTCTCATTGCCCGTCGACCAACGAACAACTACTTGGATGTTCAACAATATGGGCCTTGTCCCCATTGTAGGGAATGGCTCCAACTTAATGGTTTAAAGAAGCACATTCACCAGTGTTTGAAAGGAAGCTCTGAGGATGAAATAAAAGAGAGTGTAGGCAACTGTGTCTTGAAATCCCAAGTCATGGCTGGATTTATATCTTCAAAAACCAGCAAGGTCATGAGAGAAGAGGTCTTGCCAGCAATGAAGAGAGATACTGTTCGACATGTTGTTATAAATGACAAACTCATACTAATGCTTGGAGAAAGTTGGTTGAGACGAAATGTTGACAATGTTGAAAAGAGAAAATACTATGCCAGTCAGCATATGCGACTTGTAGCAAAAATGTTGCTTGAGTTGAGAAAAATGAAGGAGTATGAGGAAGGAAATGTAACTGAACAAAATAATGATGACACAGAAACTGCACTCTGGGAGTTTCTGAAACCAGGTTGTTTTGACAAGATTGTTGATGCTTCCCTTCAAGTTTCATTGCCAGATATGGATGACATGAGTGAACTGAAAGCACCCAGTAATGCTATAAAATTGAAGTACGATCTGAAACGATTGGTCAATATGAAGTATGCCTTTCTGATGAAAACAAACCAAGAAGGCAGAGAAGTCTCTGATTGTAAATCGTTCCTGGAGCTAATGAATTTAGAATGGAGTGAAAGAGTAACAAAGATTGCCAGGACTATCCTGCAGAAGAGAAAGTACATAGAAAGCAAAGACTTGCCTTCACCTGATGACATTGAAAAGTTGACTAAATATCTTGTGTCACAATTAGAGTCTATGGAACTGATCCCAGACAATTACATGAAAATTAATGCTCTGTGTCAAACACGCTTGATGATGTATAACAAAAGGCGTTCAGGAGAACTTGAAGTAATTAGGTAAGTGATTCAATAAGCAAGTACATTTATTACATATAGTAAGCTTAAAAATTTGTGTTCAGATAGCTTTCCTTTTTTCTAATAGGTGAACTTAAGATAATATTTTTTTTGCAAAAGATTAAATAAAAGGATACGTTAACATCCAACAATTGTCACCTTATATCAATGTTATTTTGACTTGCGCTTGAAGTGTTTCAGTAGCTTGAAATAATATATTTTCTATCACATCTCAGTCTTCAGAGTTATGCAGCCAGAAGAAAAGACCTGTCTGACATTGACGAATCTGTGGCAGCTGATCTAACAAAAGTGGAGACATACTTGCTAAAGTCTCAAGAGTTGATGACAGTTCGAGGAAAGGTAAATTTTCATATCTTTAAATATTATTTGCTTTCCTGAGAAATTCTGGTGATGAGCTTTTAGATCTTGTGATCGAAGTGAATTACCGATGAAAATTAATTGGCCTATTGCCTAAATGGCCAAAAATCTCCACTCAACTGAACATTAATACAGCTGCATAAGTAGACAAAAACAATGCCCTTCAAGGTCAAATCCCGGGCTCATAAGTGACCTTGAACTTCAAGGTCTTCAAATTATTGTATTTTGCTTGATTTTTGCTATAGTTTTCTATAACATTGTTATTTATAGATGGATTGTCTACAGACTTCACAATGCTTGTGTCAAGACCTAGAAGAACAAACTGAATTTGACCTTTACCTTTATATGACCTTGAATTTAGCTAAAATGGTGATAACTTTGTTAATAATGGACAGATTTGATTGATACTTGGACAAAAAAAACACTTAAGGCAAAATCGACATTTTTCTTTCTCCAAGTTTGACCATGGCCTATGTATGACCTTGACCATCAAGGTCAAATTATTGAATTAAACTATAACGCCCCATTAAAGCAAAAAGGTACCAAGCGACATTTTGGCCAAAAATGACTTTTTAACATTTTTCATTATATTTTAATGTTATCTTTAACCTGTAGAAATATCTCTGTAGTATCATGTTTACTTATCGACATATAAGGTTATGTAAAAAGGTACAATGTCAATATTTTTCCATTTAGTAATGCAAAAAGGTACCATATGCTTACCAGTTTGAGCAAAAAGGTACCAAGCGTCACATAGTACCTTTTTGCATTGAATGACTATAAGTTGTGAGCACTTATTTTAATGCAAAAAGGAACCATGTGTCACATGGTCCCTTTCTGCACACACAGAATTTACAACCCTAAAGATTATTTTATATTACAAATTGTTTGCTTGGTACCTTTTAGCTTTTTAATGAATACACATCTAGATGTTGATAAGGACATCAAATATAACAATGTTTCCCAGAGTATTGTTTCTGTTTTAAATTGAGGAATGATAACAGAGTGAAGATAATGATAGTGATATAAATGACTTCTTTACATTGGACGTAAAAAGAAAAGCAATGCACTATACTCAACAAGGAACATGAGGTATTTGGAAGGAGAAACATGACAGGGAAGCATACATCTGCAAATAAACTAGAATTGATGAAACAGCATAAAGAGTAATTATACAAGAAAAAAACTGAAAGAAACAATACTTATCCCATGACTGAAACATTAAAAGATGTGGAAACTGTGAAAAGAAAGAAATAAATGTTAAGTAACATATGTATAGGAAGATATTTTGTGAAAATTACACACCATCATTTTACAAACCCAAGAAAGACCAATGTTCATTATGTACAATGTATAATAGAAGAAGGCAGTAGGCACACTAGATGGCACGGTCAATGAAAAATATATTGAATATAAAAAAACAGAAGGAAAATGCACAAGAAGAAAAGGCTAAAAATAAAGCTGGAGCAAAAGTCACACATGCGTTCATGTTGCATGTTTTGATCTCAAGGCCGTCGGAACAGCCCCTTGTTCATTAGTGAGTGAGCTTTACTATTCAAGGAAACTCTGTTGCTACACAACTTGACAGTATATTTCTTAGGAGGCAAAACTGTTGTATGTCATGTATGGGATAAAACTAACTGCAAAGAGGGGCATGTGAAATACCTTCCTGCTAAATAAAAAGTTTAAAAACCCTTTTCTATTTTCTATTTGCCAGAGTGGTAATGTCAAATAAGTTAAATTTTTTTTTTTCAGATTCATACAGGGGACAAAACAGAAATTGATTCGTAGCTGCGTCTCTTCTTTTATATTATCATAAAATCCAAATTTAAGATTGATCATCCACAAATTTCTTGTATGTGGTCACTGTCAGATGGAGTGATACTTTGACTTTTGAAGGGGAAAAGAAAATAATGCCTGTATAATAATGTACCATTCAGTTGTGTTCTCTTATATCACTGGCCAGAAAAACACAGCCATACAAAGACTTCATGTAAAAACAGTGTCCAAGTCTCAAAACACCCATTGAAGGAGACAGAGTAAACTAGCTACAGGTGAAATTGATACAGGTACCAAAGGAAAACCCAAAGTCAATATTTGTAATTTACAGCTTTAATGCTGTAGATTTTATGGATAGAAGTTCAGAATACAGAATCTAGACAGAAAGGAAGTAAAGATATGAAGTTATGATACAAAACCGCAAGTTTTAATTAAAAAATATGACATGGTTACTTTTTGTACAAAAGAAATAATCACAAAATAGTTCCATAATTATTATGCCACTTAACCAACAAACAAGAAAGAAAAGGGTTATGTTACGATGGAATCACATGAGAATGATTCTGATTTTGAATAACAAATATTGTTAGACATTTTGACATAGGCATTAAGATTGATCACACAGGAAGACTTTCAAAACATGCAGTGTGATATTTACTGAAAACACAATAATTTCAGATTATTATTTGCAATATTGTTTAAAAAAAACTGTATCCAAATGATGATTTTTGTTAATATTGTTGGGACAAAAAGGTGCCAACTGCCATAAGGTACCTTATTGTGATATATTTTACAGGAAATGTTTAAAATCATACAATGCAAAAAGGGGCCAAGCGATCATATGGTACCTTCTTGCATTTGTCGGTCAAAATATTTATTAGTGCAAAAAGGAACCATTTCCTTTAATTGATTAATTATCACTTATTAGTAATATATAAGCTTTCCAACTTTTTGAGCATGTACATTTAATTATCATCTAAATATATGTGAAGTTGCTCTGCTAGATTGTAAAAACCTGATTTGATATGGAACTTCCAATCTTTAAACGCGATTTTCTCGAAAACATGAAAATGTCACTTGGTACCTTTTTGCTTTAATGGGGCGATAATTCACTATAACTTTGTTATAAATGGATGGACCGTCTAAAGACTTGGACAAAACGACAACTAGGAATATATATAGTCTAGTATAACTGTTCATAATTAGTCTCTTAAGACCTGTCTATAAGTCTCTTAAACTTGTCCATAATTAGTCTCTTAAAACCTGTCCTGAATTAGTCTCCTAAAACCTGTCCATAATTAGTCTCTTAAACCTGTCCATGATTAAGTCTCATAAAACATGTCCTGAATTAGTCTCTTAAAACCTGTCCAAAATTAGTCTCTTAAAAACATGTCCATAATTAGTATCTTAAACCCTATCCATAATTAATTAGTTTCTTAAAACCTGTCCATAATTAGTCTCTTAAACCTGTCCATAAGTAGTCTCTTAAACCTGTCCATAATTAGTCTCTTTAAACCTGTCCATAATTAGTCTCTTAAACCTGTCCATAATTAGTCTCTTTAAGCCTGTCCATAATTAGTCTCTTAAAACCTGTCCATAATTAGTCTCTTAAAACCTGTCCATAAGTAGTCTCTTAAACCTGTCCATAATTAGTCTCTTTAAACCTGTCCATAATTAGTCTCTTAAACCTGTCCATAATTAGTCTCTTTAAGTCTGTCCATAATTAGTCTCTTAAAATATGATAAACAAGATCAACAAGGAAAGGCGGCGCTCAATTCACGCAACCCCCACATGACCCAGCAACAAGAACCAATGGCAAGGAGCCCAGGGGGACCTTAAAACCTGTCCATAATTAGTATCTAAAAACCTGTCCATAATTTATTAGTTTCTTTAAACCTGTCCTTAATTAGTCTCTTAAACTTGTCATTAATTAGTCTCTTAAACTTGTCATTATTTAGTCTCTTAAAACCTGTCCATAAGTAGTCTTATAAAATCTGTCTACAAGTAAACCTTACTTTTTAAGGGTGGAAGACCTGTACCTGTTATTGTACCCCAAGATGTGAAGGGTCCATTAGACTTCATTGCATCGAAGATGACCAGAAAAGCAGCTGGAATAAGTGAAAGCAACAAGTACTTGTTTCCAAATACTGGTGAGCAATTGAAAAATAAAGTTTTATAAGACATAATGATCAAATACATGTCTTCTTAAAATACTTACAACCATTTTTATATTAGTGCTCATAATTTTCAAAGTTGATTGTCATCTGTTAAAGAAATGATCTATTATAGCTGAAGTTGTATACATGTCATCAGTATGCAACTAATACCAAGGTTTCAGATAAAAAAGCATAAATTGTCGATGTTTATATTTCTGTTAATACATGTAATAACATTTGAAAAAGTTGTGAATATCGAACTAACTAAAATTGAATGTTTTTACCATTTGTTTGCATATTAATACATTCTGGAACATTTAATTTCACTACAATTTCTGTTGCAAATATGTAAACAAAGTTGTAATATTGACCTTGCCTGTACATGTAATGTAAATATTTGGCACTCTTTCACCTGTTGTATTTCTTTATCACACAATATTTATATGCTGTGTATCTTTGTCAAAGTATCCTATTTTTTATGATTTTTTTTTATTTTTATGCTTTTTATAAAATCTTTTACGATGTTCTGCGTAATACACTTAATGGGTACATTTCCTTTCAGCTCTCAAGTACATTAGAGCATATGACAGCTTGAAGATTGCATGCGATTCGTGCCAGCTGAAATCGCCCCAGCGAAATAACAAGTGTGGCCATGAGAAAATATACTGCTACCTTGTCACAGGTTTGTTTCAGCAGTTAAATGAATTGATACCTATATGGAAAAATGTAGAGCTCATTAGAAGCCGCAATTTTGAGAAATATGACATTGCTAAAATGAAGAAGAAATTGTCTTGGCAGCATCATAAACCTTCAGTCTGTTGAGGTCTATGACATTTTCATTCTTATGAAACTTTGTCAGAATGTTTATACTGTTTTAAATGATTCATTGAGCTCAAAACATGGCCATGTGCATCAACCCTTAATCTTTGTTAAGGGGTTAATGTTTGAAGCAGTTTTTGTCATGACCCCTATTTATAAGTTTGCAATCCAATTTCTTCCAGATGATGAATCTTGATAAGTTCCAGATGGACTGGCTGTGTCGTCACCTTGGCCATACAAAACCTGTCCACAGAGAAGCATACAGGCAAATGCCTGGTTTGTTTGAGAGAGTCTATGTTACCAAACTAATGATGGTGCAAGACTTGAATTTAACCGGGCAGTTCAAGGGGCAGTCATTAGAGGATATTGATTTGAAAGGTACAGCTGTCTTTTACATGTTTTATATATAAATTTTCTTGGTACTGGGTATATTTGCTTGCCAGCTTAGCTCAATATTTCTGACATTAAGTCTAAGGTCGTTTGTATCTCAGTGCTGATTCAGAAATCACATTTTATAACTAGTTAATTCTTTTTATAATATTGACAGTGAACAGTGCACATAATGCAGTCCTTGGAATTGACATTAAATTTTTTTATTCTAGTATATTAATTTTGTAGCATGTTCATATTAATTGCAGATTAAGTTACAGTTGGTTGGATTTATCTGCAGGGTATTATTTAATATTTTGACATATTGCCACTAATTTAAGAATAATACAAGCATGTATTTATGTCTCAGATATTGTGTATGGGGCAGATGAGCAGCAGGAAGGAAGAAGAGTTGTGAGACTTTAGACTCTGTTGATGGGTAAGTATATTATGTTGTGCTGTCAAGAAGTAAATTGGTAAATGTATTTTTACACCTCGAAATGCTTGATGATACTGGGTGATTACTAGATGACTTTGATGTTGCTTGACTTGCAGCTTCTCTTATGGTTTTTTTTCTCAATGAAATATTTCTGAGGACTGTATCTTTAACAAAATAGATTATTAAGGACACAACATAACTAACTAGTCTGCATAAAAATCAGGCCAAGTGCATGTTGTGGCATTGCTTCATGAAAATCATAATACAAACTCGACATGCTGTCATTTCAAACAATACATAGTGGCTTATTTGATTAGAAGGATGTTAAAGTTAGGGTAAATATGTACCAAAATTGATGTAACATTGACTAGATCAATATGATTGTAATTTTTAAAGATTCTTGTATCAACTGTTTACAGTATACATGAAGAATCTGACTGTACTCAAGACAAACAGTCAGGAAAAAGAAACTTCAGTGCTATTTCCTCAGATGAAGAAGAAGATAAAGTACATGCACCAGAAAAAAAAAAAAAGGAAAAAGATGACAGCTCGTCAGAGATGGACTGATACTGAAGTTGAAGAGTTAAGGACTTATTTTAAAACCTACCTTGACAGTGGAATAACTCCTCGCGGACCTGCTTGTTTAAAAGCAAAAAAAAATGAGTCAGGAAAAGGGTGGTGAGATTTGGAGAAGGCAAATCACCTAATTATCAAGAAGATCAGCAATATGAACCATAAGTAAAACCACTGAGTTTAATTAAACATTGTTCATATTGCCATAAGAATTTGTCCTTTAGAATATTGTTGTAATCTTAAATACTTATTGTTGGATTTTCATGGAAATTACATATAGGTCAGTAAGCTTAACACAGTGTTTCTTTTTTTAAATGACTAGTTAAATAAGATAGTACACTTCTGTTAGCCTATTAATTTAGGAAAAGCATAGAGTTATTATAATGGGAGAAAGAGTATTACCATGGAATGTGTGCATGGTACATTGACATTGTAAATCTGAATTTTGTAACCATAATTCAACCTTGTTCCTCAGATTTTTTTGTTTACCCTTATTTATTCATTGATCTGAAGCCATTTTCATCTAGTGTTCTTTATTTCTTTAGCCTGTTAAGGACTTGTTAGAACAAATATAGGCTACCTAAAACATTTATTTTTCATTGCAAATATTGTTTTGTTCATCAACAGTTATTTTTCTCCATCTTATGAATAAAGTTATAAAGGAGGCACTCTGTTTTGTTTTGTTTCATTATGTGACATTGTGCATCATTAACCCTTCATAGTATTTATAACCATGTAAAATTTCTTAAAAATTTACCTATTCAAATAACTTGTATAACATGCAGAAATCGTGATGAAATATCAACATAATACATGTCTGTTGCCATAACTGAATTTCACTAAGGCCATTTACTGACAGATTATGGTTACCTGTTGAGAAATTAGTAATGACTGCTTAGTTGTCCAAGAAAGCCATTAAGATTAGACCTAGTACTGAGATATGAACAAAAATGTATAGAGAAATGCATGTAATCCAGACAAACAAAAGGAATTGTTTGTCTCTTGTTAAGTTTTCTACCAACTAGACCATCAAACTCTTATTTACAGTTCTTGTTAAACATGTATGTTCTATAAAGAGATTAAATACGGACATAAGTCAACAAATAAAACTGAAATGTTAGAAAACTTTTTGAAGACGCATAAAACCTAATTGAATGAAGTCACATTATCCATAGACTCTTAAACCCAAAATGTTGGTCCGTCCGTCAGTCAGTCAGTCCGTCCGTCAGTCAGTCAGTCAGTTCGTCCGTACGTCCCGAATTCGTGTCCGGCCCATAACTTTGTTATTTGAAGTCGGATTTTAAAACTATTCCACAGAAATGATCACCATATTAAGACGACGTGTAGCAAGCAACGTTTGGATCGCTACCTTGACGTTCAAGGTCACAGCATGACCTTGCAGCAAAATCGTGTCCGGCCCATAACTTTGTTATTTAAAGTTGGATTTTAAAATTATTTCACAGAAATGATCACCATATTAAGACGACGTGTCGCGCGCAACATTTGGGCTGCTACATTAAAGGTCAAGGTCACAGCATGACCTTACATCAAAATCGTGTCCGGCCCATAACATAGTTATTTAATGTTGGATTTTAAAATTATTCCACAGAAATGGTCACCATATTAAGACGACATGTGGCGCAACATTTGGGTCACTGAATTGAAGGTCAATGTTGCAGCAAAATCATGTCCGGCCCATAACTTCGTTATTTAAAGTTGGATTTCGAAAATATTTCACAGAAATGATCACCATATTAAGACGACGTGATGCACGCATTATTTGGGTCGCTACCTTGAAGGTCAAGGTCACAGCATCCACATGGAACATCATAATTGTGACACTGCATCTGACTACGCAAACCTTGTGCTTCAAGTAGGCGTTCTATTCATGGAATTGAATGAGGCTGTCAAATACCCAGACGAGACAGGCTACTGGCTGTACTGAAAATACTGATGGTCATCTTAAAGGACACAATACAAGATTGAAGTATGCTTTAGAGATTCTCCGTTTGCTTTGTCAGCAATTTGCATTGTTAAGCGAGAGTCAGGCATTTTCCAGTCTGTACGGGTTGTTTGTAAATACAGGGGGTAAACCCGATACTAACAGTCCAGCAGATTTGGAGATGGAACATCGCACGTGAAAATTTGGGACGCTTAGTTGAAGGTCAAGGTCACAGCATGACCTTGCAGCAAAATCATGTCTGGCCCATAACTTGGTTGTTTGCAGTCAGATTTAACAACTATTTTTGACAAACTACTTCTGTGTCCGATACCTACTCGGGGAGCATTACCCGGTTCGACCGGCTCTTGTTCTGAACTAAAGTAGTATTATTTGGTAAATTACATACAGACATCCAATGCCAAAATTCAAGGACTTTTTAAGCACTTTTAAGCACTTTTTCCCATTTTTCAAGCACATTTGTTGCACGTAAATCAACAATCTTCAATCTAATAAGGATAGTTTTTTCACCAATTTTTGTTGAATACGCATTTTCTGGCCACAATTTTAAGGATGTTATAGAAGAACTACAAAGGGCACAACAGATAAAGATTAGTTCGAAACAACTGCAATTTGTCCACTTACTGTTACTTTGAGCAAACATTTAATTGATTCTGATACTAAATTGTATATTTTTTTTTATTTTGTTAACTGTTGATTTTTATCGACACTTATGTCATTCAATCATTTTCAAGCACATTTTCAGCAAATTTAAGCACTTTTTAAGCACTTTTCAAGAGAGTAATCAAATTCAAGGACTTTTAAGCACTTTTTTACATTTTTAAGCACTTTTTAAGAAAGGGACTCAAATTTAAGCACTTTTTAAGACTGTACGAACCCTGTGGTTGCATGGTAAAATATCTATATTTTTTATCTTTTTATTACTGTTTTTTTTCTATTGATGATTCTGTAATATGAACAAGGCCCCTATTTATGTTCATAAATGATTTTGTCAATGACCAAAAAAAGAATAACTGTACTGAAAGTACTGTGGTCATCTTTAAAGGACACAACACTTTATCAAAACTGTCCGTTTACATTGTCACCAATTGCAAATATTACTTAGGGCTGTTCCAGGAAAAAGTGTTGGGGTGGAACGGAACTTAAAAATGAGGTTACCACAATACAATTTTATCTTTTTTTGGTACAGTCCATATGGAAATTCCAGGAAACACCCCCTCCCACCGAATTTTAATTGATTTCCGTTCCACCCCCCCCCCCTGGGGATGCCGTTTTCCCTGGAACAGCCCTTAGTCAAAATGTTCATTTAGATAGCTTTTAAGTGTTTGTATATACATATTTATATAATATAAATATAATGTCTAGTATGAAATTAATGGGAAAAGTAAATAAAGAAAAAAATATTTTTAGATTTTCTTTTGTTTGTTTTTAGATTTCCAAACACATTTAAGTGGAATTATTTAACGCAATCACAAATGGAAATGCAATATTTCTCATATATATTTGTAGGTGTATGACAGACTTCAACCTTTGGGCGTGACACTGAGCCATTCAGGCATGTTATACACAATGGATCAGATAGCAGGACATTTTAATTGTGAATTAATTGATTCCATTGTAAATGGAAAGAAATTTAGAATTGTTGGGGACAACATCAATTTTTATGTTGGTTTAACCCATGGGCTACTTATATCCTGAAAACAGAAAAAAGACATGACACTTTTATTATAAACATAAAAAAGCCAGGTCATTTTTAATTAGATTGGTGGGGGTACCACATTCTATACATGTATAAATACTAACAATCAGCTTCTATTGAATTAAAATTAATATCCATTTCTATGTTCATAAATGTGTGTGAGGTGCAGTGGCGGATCCAGGATTTGGCCTTAGGTAAATCATTGAAAGTGTTAAAAGTTGACAGTATTGCAGTAAGTTATTTTAAGCGTGTTTTGGTGCCGTTTGGGCCACATTTCTATTATAACAAGAGCCATGTCAACATGGCCATCCCCCGCCGAATGTGTTTGCTCATTGGCAGAATGTATATGTAGTAGAGCGGAATAATTCCATTTTAAGAGGTCTTTTGGTAATGAAAACTGATGGCTATAGTGATTACAGATTTGAAACCTATGTGAATACTGATGGCTGAAAATAACAAAGGGCAATTACTGAAAAATAATGCAGGGTAGGTTATCATTCTTGTGTGCTGCATCCCTCCTCAGTAAAATCTATCCACCTATGAAGTTTCAAGTTGATACCTCAAATACTTTTTGAGAAAAAAATTGAATTGAAAAATTAAATATGAAAAAGAACAAAGGGCAATAACTCAAAAATTATGAAAGGTAGAGTTATCATTCTTGTGCACTGCACACCTCCTGAGTGAGATCTATGCACCTATGAAGTTTCATGTTAATATCTCATAGGCTTTTGGAGTTATGCTCTGGACAAAAATCAATTTTGAAAAATAACAAAGGGCAATAACTCAAAAATAATGCAGGGTAGAGTTATCATTCTTAAGCACTGCACTCCTCCTCAATGAGATCCATCCACCTTTGAAGTTTCAAGTTGATACCTCAAATACTTTTTGAGATAAGCTCTGGACAAAATAGCATGATAAAAAACAAAGGGCAATAACTCAAAAATTGTATAGGGAAGAGTTATCATTCTTGCGCACAACATTCCTCCTCAATAAGATCTATCCACCTATGACATTTCATGTTGATATCTCAAACACTTTTTGAGTTACGCTCCACTCAGGTGAAAAATTAGGTATGAAAAATAACAAAGGGCAATAACTCATAAATTATGAAAGGTAGAGTTATCATTCTTGTGCACTGCACACCTCCTGAGTGAGATCTATGCACCTATGAAGTTTCATGTTAATATCTCATAGGCTTTTGGAGTTATGCTCTGGACAAAAATCAATTTTGAAAAATAACAAAGGGCAATAACTCAAAAATCATGCAAGGTAGAGTTATCATTCTTGTGCACTGCACTCCTCCTCAATGAGGTCTATCCACCTATGAAGTTTCAAGTTGATACCTCAAATACTTTTAGAGATATGCTCCGGACAAAAATGTCGGACGGAAGGACGGACGGACGGATGGACGGAAGGACGGACGGACGGAGACTATTTCTATATCCTCCGCCGAAAATTTTCGGCGGGGGATAATAAAGCTTAAAATGATGCGCGAGCGAGGAAAAATTGAGAAAAATTAGCGTTTTTGGGCATAAAAAATCATAAGTCTGCGGCCATTAGGGGGGGGGGGCGTGCGCCGGGTGTGCCCCCCACCCTGGATCCGCTAGTGAGCTGGGTAGGAATGGCTCAAACAAATCAAGTTAATAATTCGTATTGATCACAATACAAAACAAAATCATTTTACAAGAAAACTTATGATTTCATATCCGAAATATCACAATCTTAGTATTTGTCCGAAAAGTACTCAACTTATTGAAGTTTAAAAAAAATAACATGTGAAAATGTTCCACGAAAATAAACGTTATTTTTAAGAATTTTATACATACATATCGATTAAAAATTCAATAATATCCCGATGAACCACTTTTTAAAAATATTTGGTTAACTTACAGCTATCATCGCGTCGGCCATTAATTCGTCAATGCCAGACTTCTATTTGTTTACAATAGAAGCTGGGAACCAGACTAAGTCTATCAACTCAACATATCTTTATTTCAATTTTAACTGCCTACTCAGTACTGTTGTAGAGGTCTTCTGCTGTAATTAACTTTTCGCTATTTAGGAAGTTAGTTCCTTTTTGGTATTTAGTCAACAA